CCAATCCAAACCCCCCCCAAAAGCCCCCCCCTTTTTTTTTTTTTTTTTTTTTGAGAGGTTTTTGCTATAGGGCATGTGTGTTCACCAGAAAGACAGTGAGAGACAGAGAGACAGAAAGCAAGAAATCACCCCCGAGGGGGGATGGCCACGCCGCAATCCCTTCTCCATTCCCCTCTCAGGATCTTGGGCACGCACGCACACACGCCCAGCCTGAGTTTAAGCCACTGGGTCCGGGACTTGAATAGCGGTTGACTACGTGGGAGTCCAGTGACATAGACATTACGCTAACTGCTGGTCCCTGCCACCTCTTAATCCCATAGTCAAATTAAAGTTTCTGCCTTCTTATTCCATTCACAGTGGCTCACCAGATTTTGACACATGAATTTAGGGAGAACACACCCAAACCGTAGTGCTTCCCTGGTTTCCTACCTGACGTTCTTCTCCTTACTCAGTAGGCACCAGTCATACTGACCTTTTTGTGTCTTATACAAGTCAAACCATTTGTCACTTCAGGACCTGGTACTTGCTGTTCCTTATGCCTGCAATACTGTTTCCCAGATATTCATATGGCTTATTGCCTCTTGATGCAGGTTTCTATTCAAATGTCACCCAACTCCTTGGATCGTCTTACCCAAGATGGCATCACCAGACACCCTGTGTCTCCTTACCCTGCTGTTTTTCATTTGTAGCACTAATAACAACATGGCATTATGTATTTCTGTCTCTCCCTCCCTGCTTCCGTATCTCTCTCTCACACACATGTGCACGTGTACACGCACAGACACATGCACGCACAGAAATGTTGGCCCCATGAAGACTGGCTTTATTTTTGTTTACTGTGTCCTCGGTGCCTAGAATAGTGCCTTGCTCCTAGCAGGTTCCAAATGTTTGTTGGATGAATATAGGAATAAAACTTTTAGGAAAGTCTTACTCTTTCGGCCTCAGTATTTCATACACTTAGTAGGGCATTGCCAACACAGGGATTCAGAGAGGTCTGTTTCAGTGACTCGCTCCTCTGTGTACCATGCAGGTCAAGCAGAAGTAGGGTCATTGGATGGCCACGTCCCCTCATGCCCATGAGACTGTCGTAGGATTAAGTCAGCCTTAATTTTAATTCCTGGTTACTGAGTGCTCACTTACGACCTCACAGATAGGAGTAGTTTTTTTGTTTTCAGAGAAACTTGTTAACAGCAGCAGCAGCATACTGACTTTTTTCTGCTCCTATGGTTATTTTCCTCTAGCATTTCTTACACAGAAGCAGTGGAGATTTTAAAGCAAGCACCCCAGAACTTCACCTTCACTCCAGAGGTAATATTGTGTGTGTGTGTGTGTGTGTGTGTGTGTGTGTGTGTGAGAGAGAGAGAGAGAGATAGTATTTCCCTCTTGTTCTTAAAAATTCATTAAAAATCCTTACAAATAATCTCACTTCTTTCATTAGCAATGTATGGTATTTACTCACCTGTGCATAGGCTTCCTTAGATGTTTGTCTGACCTTACTGAAATACCTAAAGTAAAAAATAACTTTGAAATACAGTTGCATCATTTGGAGTAGCAACAACTCAAAGATTTTAAAGGAGTCTCAATTTTTGAAAGATGAACATCCTACAAAAGAATGGTAATCATAGACTATTACTGTAGAAATCAATTGGTTCATTGTTTCCCGAAGTATATTCTGAATGGTGTTAAAAGGTGATAGACAAAAGAGATGATGTAATCAAAAAAAAACTTAGGCAATTTTTTTGTTTTTGATTTTTTTGCTATAGGGCGCATGCACTCACCAGACAGAGACAGAGAGACAGAAAGCGAGAAATCACTCCCCAGGGTAGATGGCCACGCCGCAATCCCTTCTCCTCCATTCTCCTCTCGAGATCTTGGGCACGCACGCACATGCACCCGGCGTGTTTTAAGCCACTGGGTCCGGGACGCGAACTGCGGTCGACTACATGGGAGTCCGGCGACATAGCTATTACGCTAACTGCTGGTCTCAAAAACTTAGGCAATTTATTAAACAGGTTTCTTTTTCAGTTAAACCTTATAGAGCCTTTTAATTTGTGAGCTACTCTGGAAAATACTGATTTTTTTAAAATTAAGAACTGCTTTTTTTATTTTAAATTATTTGGTTGGCAAAGATTTGTGTATTCAAGATATATAACATGATTACGTGATACATGTGTACATTGTGTAATGATGATCACAACCAAATGAAGCACAGTCACCACCCACACTGTACATCGACTCCAAGAACTTGCTCATCTTATAACAGAGTTTGTGCCCTTGGGTCAACCTCACCCTGCCGTCCCCTGCAACCATGTCCTACTCTCTGTTTCTGTGAAGGAACTCCTTTATTTTATTGCCAAAAATATAGATTCAGAGAATATTCAGAGTCTTTGTCTCTAAACTAGTCTTCTAAAATTATTACTATTAAGAGAAATTTTTGCTATAGGGCCTGTGCATTCAGCAGAGAGAAATAGACAGGAAGCAAAAAATCGTTCCCCGCGGTGGCCATGCCCCAATCCCTTTTCCACTCTCCTCTTGGGATTTTGGGCATGCATACACTTTTGCCTGGTGAGTTTTAAGCCACCAGGTCTGGGACTCGAACTGCAGTCGACTCTGTGGGAGTCCAGCAACACAACCATTATACCATCTGCTGATCCCCAAACTAGCCTTTATACACCTCTATCCCCAGTTAAGCTAGAGCCTCTTACAAGTTATAATAGAAACATGGGTTTGTTGGGGCCAGCAGGTGGCGTGGTAGTTAAGGCGGCTGGACTTGCACATAGCTGACCGTGATTCAATCTTGGACCTGGCAGCTTGCTTTCTCACTTTCCTTCTCTCTCTCTCTTTCTGGTCAACTTCAAAAAAAATAAAATAATGACAATGAATAAAATTAAAATTTTTTAAAAAGAAACATGGGCTTGTTACATTTATAATTGATAACTTCTTTGTATGATTTTTAGTTTAATGTTCGTCCCTTCCCCTAGAAGCTTCATGAAGTCAAGGATTATTTCGTCCCACCGTATCTAGTACCTAGTATAGTGACTAGAATTAATAGGCAGACTAGTATTTGGTGAATAAACCAACTGAACAGGGTATACATGCTCATCAAAGAACATCTGATATCTGAGTTGACTTTTTCATTAAAAAAAAAAGAAGAAAGAAATTTCACTGAGAGCAGCCATCTAGATAGGCTCAATATTAGGACTACTATCTTCCCCCATTTAATTTCCTGAGACTTAGGAACAGTCACTAGAAGAAGCTCTAGGCTATATTAATAAAAGCAGATTCTAAAGTCCATTTTTATCCCTTTGGAGAGTAGACTTAGTCTTCCTGCAAGATGCTGTTTGTTCGTGGGCCGCATGCTGCCCCCGGGACTGGGGAGAGAGCGCGGTGTTTATCTTCAGCCTTCGGTTTTCATCTCTCAGGCCTGCTGCTGTCTCTAATGTAGTCAGCTGTGTCACCGCAGCAGACAGCCCCTCACACCCCTCCTCGCAGGGAGAGGAAGCCCCTGGAACAGACACAGGTTACTCTCGTGTGCTTCATTGTGCATTTCGGCTCTGTCTTCTCCTTCAGTCATTTCCCTTTCCTCATTGCAGTGGGGCGCTGATCTACAAACTGAACATGAGAAGTACCTGGTGAAGCACTGTGGCAACATACCAGTCTTCGTCATTAACTACCCACTAGCACTCAAGCCCTTCTACATGCGGGATAATGAAGACAGCCCCCAGCACACAGTAAGGAGGAGAGTTACTAAATAAATTGGGGTCAGTCATCTCAGCCTGGATTTCTCCTGGGCTTAATTTCGTTTAGCCTTTGGCATATTTTCTTAAACAAAACTTAGGCAATTTATTAAACAGGTTTCTTTTTCAGTTAAACCTTATAGAGCCTTTTAATTTGTGAGCTACTCTGGAAAATACTGATTTTTTTAAAATTAAGAACTGCTTTTTTTATTTTAAATTATTTGGTTGGCAAAGATTTGTGTATTCAAGATATATAACATGATTACGTGATACATGTGTACATTGTGTAATGATGATCACAACCAAATGAAGCACAGTCACCACCCACACTGTACATCGACTCCAAGAACTTGCTCATCTTATAACAGAGTTTGTGCCCTTGGGTCAACCTCACCCTGCCGTCCCCTGCAACCATGTCCTACTCTCTGTTTCTGTGAAGGAACTCCTTTATTTTATTGCCAAAAATATAGATTCAGAGAATATTCAGAGTCTTTGTCTCTAAACTAGTCTTCTAAAATTATTACTATTAAGAGAAATTTTTGCTATAGGGCCTGTGCATTCAGCAGAGAGAAATAGACAGGAAGCAAAAAATCGTTCCCCGCGGTGGCCATGCCCCAATCCCTTTTCCACTCTCCTCTTGGGATTTTGGGCATGCATACACTTTTGCCTGGTGAGTTTTAAGCCACCAGGTCTGGGACTCGAACTGCAGTCGACTCTGTGGGAGTCCAGCAACACAACCATTATACTATCTGCTGATCCCCAAACTAGCCTTTATACACCTCTATCCCCAGTTAAGCTAGAGCCTCTTACAAGTTATAATAGAAACATGGGTTTGTTGGGGCCAGCAGGTGGCGTGGTAGTTAAGGCGGCTGGACTTGCACATAGCTGACCGTGATTCAATCTTGGACCTGGCAGCTTGCTTTCTCACTTTCCTTCTCTCTCTCTCTTTCTGGTCAACTTCAAAAAAAATAAAATAATGACAATGAATAAAATTAAAATTTTTTAAAAAGAAACATGGGCTTGTTACATTTATAATTGATAACTTCTTTGTATGATTTTTAGTTTAATGTTCGTCCCTTCCCCTAGAAGCTTCATGAAGTCAAGGATTATAATTCTTTATTTCTTACCACCGTATCTAGTACCTAGTATAGTGACTAGAATTAATAGGCAGACTAGTATTTGGTGAATAAACCAACTGAACAGGGTATACATGCTCATCAAAGAACATCTGATATCTGAGTTGACTTTTTCATTAAAAAAAAAAGAAGAAAGAAATTTCACTGAGAGCAGCCATCTAGATAGGCTCAATATTAGGACTACTATCTTCCCCCATTTAATTTCCTGAGACTTAGGAACAGTCACTAGAAGAAGCTCTAGGCTATATTAATAAAAGCAGATTCTAAAGTCCATTTTTATCCCTTTGGAGAGTAGACTTAGTCTTCCTGCAAGATGCTGTTTGTTCGTGGGCCGCATGCTGCCCCCGGGACTGGGGAGAGAGCGCGGTGTTTATCTTCAGCCTTCGGTTTTCATCTCTCAGGCCTGCTGCTGTCTCTAATGTAGTCAGCTGTGTCACCGCAGCAGACAGCCCCTCACACCCCTGCTCGCAGGGAGAGGAAGCCCCTGGAACAGACACAGGTTACTCTCGTGTGCTTCATTGTGCATTTCGGCTCTGTCTTCTCCTTCAGTCATTTCCCTTTCCTCATTGCAGTGGGGCGCTGATCTACAAACTGAACATGAGAAGTACCTGGTGAAGCACTGTGGCAACATACCAGTCTTCGTCATTAACTACCCACTAGCACTCAAGCCCTTCTACATGCGGGATAATGAAGACAGCCCCCAGCACACAGTAAGGAGGAGAGTTACTAAATAAATTGGGGTCAGTCATCTCAGCCTGGATTTCTCCTGGGCTTAATTTCGTTTAGCCTTTGGCATATTTTCTTAAACAATATTTATCACTCTGTTCATCTAGTAAGAGGACAGAGTTTTTCAAAGTTCCTTAGGAAAGCATTCCCAGAGAAGATCCCAGTGATCTGTAAAAATACTTCCCTATTTATATCGCAAAGTGTCTTTCTTAGTTTAGCGGACAAGTATAGGCATGGTTCGTTTTACTGGTAAGTGGAATACTGGAATACTGGAATACTGCTCAGCAGTGCCGTCAAGCTAAGTACTGGCCAGGGTTCCCCTGGGGAGGAAAGCGTGTCTGGCAGCAGATGGGAGTGGCACCTGGTCAGGCCTGGGGAGAGCTGGCTTGGCCGAGCAGGGGGCTTCGAGTGCTGCAGTCTGGTCAGGTAGAACTCGGCAGGAGGAGGTCTAGGCAGATGCTCCCTGTCCTGGTCTGTCTGTCTCCGCTCTACCTGCCTTTCTTGTGTCTCTGTCTTACTGCTCTGATCCCTTTAGTCTTTCTTTTCCTGTATTCTTTGTTCGCTCTTAACTTTAGTTGCTTTTTTATTCTTCTGACTTACTTTTTCCCTTTTTTCTCTTATTTTGTCTATTTCTCCTTTACAAAACCAGCCACACTATGAAATAACATGCTTTGAATTTTAAAATATTTATTGAATATGTATTTAGTAACATTAATTATAAAAGTGTATGGATCAAATATGTTTATCTCACAACAGGTTCAAAACTAACTAGTGTCTGATGCTTTCACTTACGTGTACATACATGCCTGGAGGGAAATGTAGATCAGGGCCCAACTGTAAATAAAGTGTCCCATCGCAGGTATCCAAGGTTATTGCTTTGAATATATTTCCTCTTCCTGTTGTGGCGTTAATAAAACAATATTAGTCACATTTACTAGATTCCTGTGAGTCAGGCTCTACCTCTCATCTCTAAATCCCAAAGTTGCTCTGTAAAGAAACTTACTGCTTCCCTCATTCTGTAAATGGAAAGCCAGAGTGCAGAGAGAGTGAGTGTGTTTCAGTCCTCCACCAAACACCAGTGACGTGCAGCCATGAGTTCTGCTCCTGAAATAATCCTAGGTTGAGCGCTTTCAGTTACTCAGTCTCAAGCTTCTGTAATGCTCCCCAGTAAGGTCTTTCCCAAGTTACCCACCCACTTGGAGCCTTTCTCTTCTAGGGCATATAGCATTTAAATTAGAATCCACAAGACTTTGCAGCTTTGTGACTCGTGTTTGTGGTCTTTCTATGTTTTGCTTTTCTAAGCTAAACTCTTCATCAAGGTGGCAGGTGAAGTTTTTTTGAACCAGCACTATTTCTACTACTAATTCCTCATTCCTGTTAACATGGCTTCCACCCCTGTCATGTCACTGAATCAGCTCCGTTAGAGTTGATAGTAATTTTCATGTTACTAAATTCAACAGGCTGGAGTGTATTGATTTTCCTTGACTTCTCAGCACTATTAAAGACTTTCTTGCTCTTAAAATCCTTTCCTGGGGCCAGCAAGTGACGTGGTGGTTAAAGTGCTGGATTTCCACATGGCCAACTACAGTGGGAGTCCTGGACCCAGTGACTTGAAACTCACACCAAGCATGTGTGCATGCAGGCCTAAAATCCCAGGAAGAGAATGGAAAAGGGATTGCAGCATGGCCATCCCCACTATGGAGTGATTTCTCACTTTTCCTCTCGCTATCTCTCTGTCTCTCCAGCGAGCGCACACGTCCTATAGCAAAAAAAAACTAAAATAAAAAATGTTTTAAAGTCCCCTCCTCGAGGCTTCTGTGACAGCACACTCTCAGGGTTTCTCCATTCTCAGTCCTTCTCGGTTCCCTGTACAGTTTCATCTACCATTCCGCTAGATGTTGCCGTTCCTCCAGGCTTACTCTTAGGTCTTCTCTCAAGTGCTTTCCTCTGTCCCCGTAGTTCCCTACTGACTCTCAGACAGTTCAGAAATCCATGTCCCTCATGGACACACACCTTCCCTCTGAGCTCTGGGCTCTGTTCTCATACCACCTCATTCACTGCCACTTGCATAACTCAGAGGTGTCCTTGGGCACAGCATATCCCAAGTAAACCTGTGATTTCTCCTCTTCTCCCCAAAATTCCATCTTTCAATATCCCGCTCATCTAACTGTGCAAGCCAGATACCTCACTAATCTTTGAAATCTCTCTCACATTTTCATAATCAAGCTATTACTAAATTGTCATTTTTGCATTCCTACATATCTATCAAATCCATTCACATCTCCCACTCTTACCTTTTTAGATTAAGATAATCGTCTTTTGTCTAGATGGTATCCTCCCAACTGGTCTTTTTATGTCTACTTTTCTCTCTTGAGTCATTTCTTCCCATTTCAATGTGAATTTTTAGAAGATGTATATCCAGGGGCTGGCAGGTGGCATGGTGGTTGAAGGTGCTGGACTACCACATGGGCGACTGTGTTTTGAGTCCTAGACCTGGTGATTCTCTCTCTCTATTTCACTCTGTTCCTCTCTAATCAAATTTAAATAAATAGGTAGATAGATAGATAGACAGATAAAGTTAAATAAAATAATTCTTAAAATAAAAAAGAAAATGTGTATCCAATCTCACCTCACTTTTTTTTTCCCTCAGACAGAGTCTCATGATCTTCCTGCCTGAGCCTCTCAGCTGGGACTACACCACCATGCCCAGCTCAGTTTCAACAACGTCTTGCTTTATTTCCCAGTCAGTTCTCTAGCTTGTGCTCTTTCTGACTCCATCTTCCAAGATACTGGGATTCCAGGTGCACACCACTATGCCTGGCCTTTAAGTTGAATTAGGAATTGAACCTAGACCTTTCATGTGGGCCCAGCTTACAAAGTGCAGCATCCTAGCAGCACGTGCCATGACGGCTAGGCTTGTTATTTCCCTTCCTAACTCTATTTAGTGGCCTCCCATTGCTCCTAGGATGGTAGCCAGAGCTCTTTACCTGCAGGTCCAGTACGACTGCCTGCTCCCGTCTCCCTGGGCTGCTGTGCCGTTTGCTATCCTCTGCTCCGCTGTATCTACGCCACTCTCCTTCCACCTCGTCAGACGTGCAGTGCTGCTTTCCTCCTCAGGCTGTCTGCACACGT